AATAATTTCAATTTGAAGCCTCTCGGACAACAATGATAAAAACATAAGTATCATATGGTTGCGGTTTTGCCCGCCGCACGCATCAGAAAATAAGAATATTCTGTCATAACAGTGTAAATCAAATTCTCTTTTTATAATATTTAAAATCATGTTGCACACTGAATTGCTTCCTTTATTGGCTAAACCCTCCATGTATGTAAACATATAACTCCTATCGGAATGGTGTACGTGAACATTGAAAATAAAAAGCCACATCAGTCGCAAGTAGAATAATTGAGCCGATACAGGTAGCTTAGGAAGGGGAAGATTTTGACCATAATCGAACTCGCAGCGCAAGATGTTTCCAGGCACAGACAACATTTTGTCTTTCATCTCTCTATAATTAATCACTTTTTGATAATGTTTACGTGCTTCATCGGTCTCTCGTGCATTCATTTGTTCATAAGTAAAAAAATCATTACAAATATCTGTTCGTGGCATATGGAATGTAAAATTTACAAAATGGTTAAAATATTTACAGTACGTTGATTCTTTGATGGGGCATTTTTTGTTAGGGTTCTTTGACTTATAAAACTGTATAAACAATTTAAACAATTTTGACAAATTCAAACTAGAATCTTTAAAGTAATTTAGCGATGTTTGTTCACGTCAGTAGTGAGACTTAGTGTGCGCTAAACTCTTACAGTGTTCATGTATTACTTTTTTTGTATCATCGGTGAGTTTTTGAAAATGTGTTTGAAACATTCTTTTTTGCAACAAGAAGTCACAACTTTAAATTCTCTCGCCGCAACAGCTTTTTTTGTTCCTCGAGAGATATATTCTTTTCCCTATGCAACAACATTACGCAACCAATGTTGTTGAAAAGTCAAAATTTACCAATCTTAATTATAGCGATGTTCAAAATGGCGTCCACGAACTGCAATACACTCGCGTAGACGGTGAACAAAAGATTGTTTTGCATTCTTTATGGCGTCTCCTCTACACTGATGACGACTGAAGACGACAGAATGGATGCGTATAAGGGCGAAGCTGTGATTGTCCTTGAGATACAAAGTTTTTTAATTTTCTTTCGAACCGGATGAAAAAAATGCCATGTCCTTACATGTGCCGAATTCGTCTTGAAATCCTCTAACAGACAGGCGTAAAAAATTATATGTTCAGTTGCCAAAAATTCAAGGTAACCTTGAAAAAAACATTTAAAAAAAGAGTTGACCAGTAATTTTTCACTATCACGTTAAAGCTCTCTTGAAACCATGTAAAAGCTGATAAAAACTTTTTCGATCGGACTGCTAATAACAAAGTAATCTCTACTGATCACGATTCGTGGTTCACCCTGTATATCACACTACAGTTACTATCACTATGATTAATAAATGATTAATTAACCGGTAAAGCGGTAATGAAACAATCAAATGATGAAATGACTGAATTTTTTCACGAAGTGACAGGTTAGGAATCGCGATGTATTTATAAAAAAATAATATATTTATGTTTTATTACAAATCACAGACATCAATTATATCCACTATTATAACATGCACAGTCCGCAGAAACGATACGCGAACGACAAGCGCGAAATATGAGACGAACTCATAATAAGATAGTAGCCAACAGCTGAGGCCATATAAACAGAAGACTACACGTGTTCACTGGCTCGTTGCGCATGCGCGTCTCGACTCGTTATGCCTGTGTCGCGTCGAAGCTCATACGTATATGCGAGGGGACAAATTTTTTAAGATTGTGTGAGAGGAGACAAATTGAAAAAAAAATTTCGACTGATATTGCTAAGATGCCAGATATCAGCATTGCGGGAACCGATTTTATTGGGCAAAGGCTCATTGTAAAGAAAAAAAAAAGAAAAAATATTCGACCTGACACATTTTTCGCCCACGACATATACCCGCAGATAATTCAAGTTATTTCATCGTAGTAGACAAAAAAGCGCCAACTTGGAAATGAAGTGGACCGCAATGGAACTTGACACTATTTCTTAATAAATTTGATAGTGGTCGCGCGATTCGAGCGTAATCTGGTATGAACTTCCTGAAATATCCTGTTAACCCCAGGAATGACTGTATCTGCTTTACCGACTTGGGTTTTGGAAAGTTTTTCACGGCTTTGGTTTTCTCGTCTGAAGGTCGAATCTCTCCCTCTTCCACTATATATCCTAAATATTGAACACGTCTCACTAGCTGCTCACATTTTTTCCAATTAATTATCAGTCCATACATCTCAGCTTGTTTTAATACTTTTTTCAACTTTTCACAACATTCAGCTTCTGTCTTGGCAGGAATAATTAAATCATCCAAATAGGCTAAAACTGTTCCATCGTTAATGAGTCTTTGAAAAACTGCTCTGACAAATCTCTGAAATACAGCTGGAGAATTGCACAATCCAAATAGTACTCGTAGGAATTCAAACTGTCCATCCGGAGTCACAAAAGCTGTATATTTAATACTTGATTCTTCTATGGGCACGTGGAAGAATCCATCCTTCATATCTAGTGTACAAAACACTCTGGCATCTTGCAATCTGTCCAACTGGTCTTCAATTAGTGGCAATGGATTTCTATCTCGTAAAATCTTCCTGTTCAGCATTCGATAGTCTACACATAGCCTCCACTGATTGTTCTTCTTGGCAACTAGTACTATAGGGCTGGCATAGTTTGATGTACTGTGTCTTACTATACCTCGCTGTAACCATTCATCTACAATTTCATTTACAATCTTTCGTTGATCAGCTGATAAGCGCCGTGGATTCTGGAAAACTGGTACTTCATCATTAAGAATTATGTTTATCTTTACTTCTGTTTCTTTCGTCTTTCTGGGTTCATAATTTTCCACTATTTCTTTTACTTCTTCCCTGATTTTCGGATCGGCGATGTGCCTTGTTGACACCTCTGGTTCTGGTTCAACTTGGGCGTTGATGGAGAGAACTGTCTGCCATCCTGGATCATCTATTTGTACTACAATTTCCTTCATTTCCTTTTCTTCTAGCGATACTACTTTTGCAGCTCTGTGTCTTAACCTCACTTCCGCCAAGTCTGTTAATTCTACCCCCACAATGACATTGTAAGGAATGTATTCATCAGGCACGACATGAAATACAAAGTCGAACTTCATTTCATCGATTTCTATTTCTGTTGTAAATCGACCTATTGTTTTATTATCTTTAGAATTTGCACCGTCAAATACAATCTTCTTGAGTTCAAGCTTTGGTGCTCCTAAGCGCTGGTATTCACTGAAACGTACAAGATGTAGATCACTTCCTGAATCTATGCAAGCTGTAACATCTTGGCCCAACATCTTGATGTCCTTTGGAATCTTCCGCTTTGTAGCTTCAACTGCGTCCACTCTTGCTCTAGACTCTGTATTGGTTGAGCTAGATTTCTTCACCTCAGTAGTGTACTCACTAGATATGTGGCCAAACCTATCGCATTTGAAACACTTCCTTCCCTTTTCCTTGTCTGGGCAATCTCTGCTGAGATGGTTCTTATTACCGCATACGAAACAATGTTTAGGCTTCACAATCACTCCATCTTTTCTGTCCGTCATCTTGTCCACTGCTATTCTCTTTGGTTTATCATTGTTTGACGGTCGTTGGATACTTCTGTGAGATTTTCCGCTGTTCTCTTTTTGTGTTTCATATAACTGAAGTTTTTTGCGAAATTCTTTTATGGAAGATGCTCCATATAGTATCGTCTTGTTTACTTCATCATCTCGTATACCATCTATACTGTATTGAATTATTGCCTCTTCCTCAATATCAGCTTGACCTGCGATCTGTAT